ATGTGTTTCTTTGCCATTTTTTTGTTTTTGGGTCCGGTCGTGGGGCCTGAACTCTGGGCCTGGGCGCTGTCCCTCAGCTCTTCAGCTCAAGGCTAGCACACTACCACTTGAGCCATAGCACCACTTCCGGCTTTTTTTTTCCTGCTTATGTTGTGCTGAGGAATCGAACCCAGGGCCTCATGCATGCAAGACAAGCACTCTTACCACTGAGCCACCTTCTGAGCCCTTTCTTTGCCATTTTTATCTCTTCTTCTGAGAAGTCTCTCTTTAGTTCCCTTGCCCATTTAGTAATTGGTTTGTTAGGTTCGGGAGGGATTAGTTTCTTGAGTTCCCTGTATATACTGGATATTAACCCCTTGTCTGATATACTGCTGGTAAATATTTTTTCCAATTAGTTGGTTGTCTTTCTAGCTTGGTTGCTATAGCTTTAGCTGTGCAAAAACTTTTTATTTTAAGGTAATCCCATTTGTCAAGTCTCTCTCCAATTTGTTGTGACCCTGGGACTCTGTTCAGGAAGTTCCTTCCTGTGCTTATAAGGAAAATAATTTTCAAAAAGGTCCTGGTATTAGAATGAAAAGCTCTAAGGTTTGGGGGCATTTGTTTATGTGAGGAAAGCTTAGTTTGTGCTTAGGGTGGAACATGAGTTTGTGATCATAAACCTGATCTTCTGAGATGGATTTCCCCGTACTTTTGGCCTCTGTCCTTCCTCTTTCTTGAGTGTACTTCCTCATTTTGGTGTAGAATGTTTTCTAGTTGTTTCTTTGAAAGGTTCTGAAAGTGACCTCTTGCATACCTGAAAATATGTCTTCATAATCTTAGAACAGAATTTAAAGATCATCTCAGTTTGAGCTCTGATTATCCTCCATCTTTCAGAGGTGTGTGTTCTAGTTAGTTTCTGTATCTTTAATGGATTATTTGGCTGAGTATAGAACTCTAGGCATGGAACCTTGTTTCTTTATATTCTGAAGGCATTGAAAAGCAACTCTGATTCCTGTTTTTTTGCCTGTAGCCTCTACTCTTCATCATTCATCTTAAGTGGAAATTTGGTTCTCAGGTGTTTTTGTTGTTGCTGATTCTATGGCTTGAACTGGCCTGGGAATTGTCTATTAGCTATTTTTCATTTAAGGCTGACATTGTATCACTTGAGCCATAGACAGCTACCCTTCTGCCTTTCTGGTGGTTAATTGGAGATAAGAGTCTCATGGTCTCTCCTCCCTGACCTGGCTTCAAACCATAACCCTCAGATTTTAGCCTTTTGAGTAGCTAGAATTACAGATGTGAGCCTCTGGCACCCAACACTTCCAGCCTTTTAAGTTTAACATCACTTATTGATTGTTTTCAGTGGGTAATTTCATTATGGGAACCAATATGCTTCAGTTTTAGGGATTTTTCTTATAGATTTATAGCTCATTTTATTTCAGCTGTTGGGTTTCTTGTACTGCTCCTTGGAACTTATTCCCATTAATTTGATTTCTTTTGCTGTTTTTCTCTTGTGAATATGGGTTGATTTAAAGCAAAACAAATGCCTGGATAGGTCTTCCTATCAGCATAACCACAGGGGCTTCATTCTGATGTGGTTAAATAATTTTCAGTGAAGTTGTACATTCAAGTATTCCAAAAAGAATTCCCTGGTTTAATAGAAGACCAAGAGGGACAGGCATTCCTGCCAGTCTGTCTTTTCTCTCCTCTTTCGTCTCTGTCAGTCTCATTATAGACAGGTCTCAGATGTTTGATGATGATCCTCAGTCATTTGAACTAAAAGCTTTGAGCACATGTTGGCTTTTGACTGCTGTAGAGTTTGCTCTAGCATGTTCTGATTGGGATGTTTTCTTGGTAACCCCTTTATGTCAGGCTAGTCAGATGCTCTGGAGGAGGATTTGTCTATTCATTTTAAAGATATTTTTTCATCCTTAGGTACTGGGAGTTAGCAATAATCATAATACTGAATATGGAATTCATATTCTAATGGAAGAGATTTGCCATGAACAATACTCATATGTGTTTGTAGTTTGTTAAGGGGTGATAAATGGTGAGTAAACAGTAAAAGTGTGTGTAAAATGTAAATGTACTGGTGGAAGGAGGTTGAAGTTTGATTTCACCTGGCAGGGCATGTCTCACTGAGTTGACTTTTGTGTAAAGACCTGAATGAGGCCAGGGAATAGGCTTGTGAAAGAGAGTTCCCGGCAAAGGGAAAAGGTCTCAGACAGCTGTGGCTTGGGCATGTGTGAGGAACAGCGTGGGAAGCATAGTGACTTCTGTTATGACAGAGCCTTACAGCTTCCTTGAGCAAGTGACATTGTATCTACTATCTCCTCACTGAAGTTTGTTGAGTAAGTAATTGTAATTAATTTTCAAAAAGGTTTTTATCCAGAAGAAGATAATCCCTCAAACAAACCCACAAAAGCAAACAAAAACCCCAAAGTCTTGACTTTGTATCTAAAGGTTATCATTTGTTCAGAAAAAACATTTTAAAACGGACTTATAGCGTTAACCCTATTTTCTGGGATCATAGAAAGGATAGAAGGCAGAACTGTATTGTGATTCTAAAGTACTATTTCTCTTTGCTCTTTTTCTTCCAATTTGTGTTGGTTCTGTCAATGCAAGTAAGATTTCTTACAGAAATAGGACTAAGTATTCCTTTTCTTTTTTTTCCCCCAAAGTGTACTATATAACTTTTGTCTTTTCATTTAGAAAGAAAGGCTTTGGTGGGACTGCGGGAATGGCGTTTGTGGGGACTGTGTGTTCAAGGAGCCATGCAGGCGGGATTAATGTGGTAGGTTATTCTTCACACTCAGCTTTGTATGTATGCATTAGGACAATCTCAGCATCTGTTGACTCTACTTCTGACTCACTTTTCAAACAATATTTTAAATATGAGGAAACAGTAGGAGTGGCAGATGTATTGTATTTCTATAGACTGGATCATGTTTTCTAATATTTATCATGTGTTATCTTTTTTTTTTTTTTACCTTTTTGTGTATGAGGAAATAGGGCCTATTTCAGATAATTAAAATGGAATCAGTTAATTTTTCCCCATATACCACAAAGAACAATCTATTGGTGCTAAAGTGGCTAATCTATTGCTTAAAGAATCCATACAAGCCAGGTACTGCTGGCTCATGCCTGTAATCCTAGCTACTCTGGAGGCTGAGATCTGAGGATTGCTATTCAAAACAAGCCTAGGCAGAAAAGTCCATGAGATTCTTTTCTTTTCTTTTCTTCTTTTTCTTTTTCTTTTTTTTTTGTGCTGGGCCTGGATGTTGTCCCTGAGGGTTTTATGCTCAAGGCTAGCACTCTACTACTTGAGGCATAGCTCCACTTCCAGCTTTTTGGTAGTTAATTGGAGATAAGAGTCTCATAGATTTTCCTGCCTAGGCTGGCTTCAAACCACGATCCTCAAATCTCAGCCTCCTGTATAGCTAGGATTATGGCCATAAGCCACTGCTGCCTGTCTAAAACTCTTGTCTTCACTTAACCTTCACAAAGCTAGAAGTGCAGATGTGGCTCACTTGGTAGAGTGTCAGCCTTAAGTGAAAATACAGGACATGAGTTCAAGGCCTTGTACTCGTACAAACAAACAAAAAGAATCTATCTTCATGACCATACCTATTTTTTTTTTTCATGACCATACCTATTCTATAATAGACTAGAATGTACAAAGACCATTGCTGGATGCTTGACTTATCATATAGGCTGGCAACCTCATTGTGGATACATTTCTTTTTGTGAAAAGAAGTAAAACATCTTGTCTTCGTTCATAAATTTATCAACACCTTCCTGTATTTGGACAGTTTGGACAAATCAATGTGGAAACATTTGCATCCATTGTTGCTCATGAACTGGGCCATAACCTGGGGATGAATCATGATGATGGGAGAGATTGCTTCTGTGGAGCAAAGAGCTGTATCATGAATTCTGGAGCTTCGTGAGTAACCCAGTTTTTTTTCCTTCTTTTTCTTGTTTTTGTTGTTGTTGTTCTTCGTGTGTGTTTGTGTGTGTGTATGTGCTGGTACTGGGGCTTGAACTCAGGGCCTGGGCTGTGTATTGTCCCTTAGCTTTATCTCTCAAGATAAAGCTCTCCCCTACCACTGGAGCCATAGGTTCACTTTCAGTTTTTTGGTGGTTAATTGGAGATAAGAGTTTCATGGATTTTTGTGCCAGGGCTGGCTCAAGCCTTGATCATCAGCTCTCAGCCTCCTGAGTAGCAAAGATTACAAGTGTGAACTACCAGCACTTAGCCAGTTCTTTCTTCTTAATTTGGTATTGCATAATGATGTTTCTGAGGGAATACTCATGTTTTCCTGATTCTATGAAATATACCAATGAGAAGTTTGTTTTTTAATTAAATAATCCCAAAAAGGTTTAAGAAACATTTATTTTTTAATTTTAATATTTGGTCCGGTCGTGGGGCCTGAACTCTGGGCCTGGACGCTGTCCCTCAGCTCTTCAGCTCAAGGCTAGTGCTCTACCGCTTGAGCCACAGTGCCACTTCTGGCTTTTTTCTTTTTGCTTATGTGGTGCTGAGGAATTGAACCCAGGGCCTCATGCATGCAAGGCAAACACTCTACCACTGAGCCACCTTCCTAGCCCCTTAAGAAAAACTTGTATTGACATAGGTACATAGGTATACTCTTCTAAAAACCAGTTGATAGGACAAAAAAATATCGGAATGTGGAAAACTAACTGCTTGTGTCAGTGCAGGTTGGACTAGATTGATGACTGAACAAAGGATTTCCTCACAAATTTGAGAACATACTGCATTACCACCTTAAGCATATAGAAAACCTGACATCTTCCTGTTAACTCTCATGGACATAAATGCCAGAAGCAATCCAGAGAAGAGGAAAGGAATAGTGAACATTTGTAAAGCTCTTTTTATGACGACATTATTTGGTATCAACTCATTCATTGATCAATCTAAGGAATTGTAAGGACTTTGTCCATTATGGTTAAGAACATATTCCCAAATAGCTGACTGGATTTACATTGAGGTAGTCTGTTCCCAGAGCTTATGAGCTAATCTTCATTCCTAAAATAATGACAATGGAAGGTGTAAGGGTGTTGCGCCCTTTTCTGACTTAGCTTCATTGTAACGTAAGGTTCTTTCCTAATTTCATAGCTGAAGCACTGTGTGTGTGGAGTAAACTTGGTTTAAAATTAGATGATTCCTGTGGGAATATCAGTGGCCCCAAGTGTTTACTCTTTTCTTAACCCCTAGCCTCTTGAAGCAAAGAGTAATAGATATTCTACTACTCAGTCCTAGTGTTCAGAGGAAGTTCTAGCAAATGCTTAAGCAAGATTTAGTTTTCCAGCAAATACTAGGCTCCAAAATAGACAGGCTCCAAAATAGAATTCCAGTGGTGCTGATGAAAAAGAGCCTTTCATATATAAGAAAAGTCCTATGTTTGTAAAAGAGTTCCTGTTGGAAGGGAAATAAGTTTCCTTGGTGGAAAGTTGAGGCAGGTAAGAAGTCAGGAAAAGGATCAATTGTAAGGAGCCACAGTGAGCTTGGCATGGAAAGAAGAGCATTAGAGTTAAGAAAGGGATTGAAACGATTCTGTAGTGGAGTTTATGCTGGTAGAAGAATCTTTACGAGTGTACTTATATTAATCGCTTACTTTCCAGTTGTTTATTGAGCCTTGTAATATGCTAGGCTTTGTTTTGGGTACTTGTCTTTGAAGAAGTTGAGGTTTTTTTTTTTTTTTTAGGCGACAAAGTATCAATATGACAACTAAATAAATCAGTAATATAGAATGTAGGAGGTGGGAGGCTCTGTGGAATAAAATAGAGTGGGAACATATAAGTTTGAGAGGGCTCGGGTAGCAGTGGGATGGAGGTGTCCATCCTGAAGCTCTGAGGTGACCCTGTGGGGAGAGAGACTCAAGAAACAAAGTCAACATGGACAAATGGAGTTTGTCAGGCGAATGTTCAGGGCTCCTTCAATTCCAGGCTAGTGCCTTCAGAATAGTAATAGTGAAAATATGTTCTGGTTGTTTTCAGATTACTCACAGAAATAATGAGTAATAATATAAGCAATGAATTCTAAGTGACGTTTGATTTAAAAAAGAAATCACATCCTGGTAGGTCAGTTTGCCCTTATTGTCTATCTTTTTTAGGGAGTATTTTTGGGAACTTACCCAGAAGTGAAAAAAAGAAAGGAAATATTCTGAATTAAATACTGAAGTCTAGAGATGATAGGTAGAGGGTAGAAATATTTCTACAGTTAGTCAAGCCAAGTATGGAGAAAGATCATTTTTCTTATTTCTTTCTCAGCCAGGGACTGCTACCAAGGAATGTCTCCATTGTTGCCTCGAACTGTACTGTACGCCAAATTAGGGCGTGTTTGTTAATTTCCTTGGATGATGGCTGAGTAATGGTGGTGGTGAGTACAATGTTAGAAGGACAGCAAACAGTGAAGCAGGAACTTCAAACAGTATGACCTTTCAATCAGATTAGACCAGATTAGATGTCTGCCCTGAAGCAGAAGAAGCATCAACAGCTTGTTCAGAGAAAACCTTCAAGGAAAATAAGGGTGGGGAGAAGGTGAGAGGGAACAGGAAATGCTGAGAACAAAGTTGGGAATGGGCTACAACAAAAATGTGGCTTTCTTAACTACTGGGGATATGGGGATCTTGGGAGTAGGCGATGAGAAGAGCAGAAATTGCTGACAGGACAAATGACTAGATCTTTGGAGGCTAAATTTTGATTTAGCCTCTCTGATTTTGTTAGGATTTTCAGAACTTTATGGTGAGTAAAACATACTTTTTTTTTTTTTTTTTGATAAATGGCTCTAGACTCGGGCATTCAAACATTGTTTATGAGAAAATGTGTTCCAACTACTAAATAATAAGCTTATTTCAAAAGTAACCTTTTACAAGTGAGAGACTTGAGGGTTGTGATGAAGGACTTAGGTGTAGGATAGTCTACTGCACAACTCCTATCGCTATTGTTTAATTACTGTTCTTAGAGAAAACATTGCCTGGGCAGGCACAGAACTAACCACAATCAACAACAGGAAGTAAATAATTACAAGTCTTTGTTTAAGTGGATGTTTCCTTGTTTATCAAAGAATGATTCCATATTATGAGCTCAACATTTTTACTTGATATCTAATAGTCTGACACTGTTCTTAATCTTTCCTAAACCTTCATTTCCCTTTGTCTTCCCTGTAAGCAGAATTAAGATTAATTAGACTCTACCAGAGAACCATGGAGATATCCACATACAGAGAACAAAGAAAGGTTTATTGTCAGGAAAGGGGGTTGGCAAGACTCCTTCTCACAAGGGAGAACTGAGAAGAAGCAACCGCTGTTATCTGAGGTGACCTATATAACTTAGGAGGTTTAGGAGGGGCTAGATGGGGCAAGGAGGCGGAGACCCTGGTGTGGATGTGTGGGCCAGGGGCTTCATCATGTCAGACTAGGATTTATGGCTGCCATCCAAGTAGTAGATAAGGGGTCCTGCAACTGTCCAGACCTGAAGGTCACTCTAAGGGGCTCTTGTTGCCTTACATGGTGGTAGCTGCCCCATAGAAGTGCCAACCCAAGGTAAAGGGGGTTGAAAGTTGATTATTTACTGCCTTTACTACTTGGGCCTAGTGCTGCCTAGGAAGGGAGCATGCTAAGCTGTGGAGAAGGGAAGGGGGGTGGACTAAGCTATGGGAAGGGACTCATTTTGCTAACATCCCCTGTAGTAGTAGTTAGTGCTTCCTCCTTTCTTCTGCCATCTCAGCACTGTAGCCTTGGAGTTAGCCTTTAAGTTCTGGGCAGTCCAGTTCCTCCCTGCTCACTCATTGTGATTCATTTCCCCTGTGACTGGATTTCAGGAAGAGCTCCCTTGCCTTCTTCCTGTGAATTCAGCCTCCCAAGATAACCTGTTAGCAGAAGTCTAGTCATTTGTCCTGTCAGCAATTTCTGCTCTTCTCATCGCCTACTCCCAAGGCCCCCATATCCCCAGTAGTTAAGAAAGCCACATTTTTGTTGTAGCCCATTCCCAATTTTGTTCTCAGCATTTCCTGTTCCCTCTCACCTTCTCCCCACCCTTATTTTCCTAGAAAGTTTTCTCTGAACAAGCTGCTGATGCTTCTTCTGCTCCAGGGCAGACATCTAATCCAGTCTAATCTGATTGAAAGGTCATAATGTTTGAATTGCGTGCTTCATTGTTTGCTGTCCTAATATTGTACTCACCACCACCATTACTTAGCTGTCACCCTTACTCCCTCGAGTTTCCCCTCCATCACTGACCTCCTTCTAATACTTCAACTAATCTACTTAATTACTTGTAATCTATTTCACTCACTGGAACCTGATGGCCTCTGGGCAGTTACTGTCTGCTATGTTCTCATCTTTACCCTGTTTACCAAGGAAAATGTCTTATATAAACGGACAGTGGATGGCAGGTTGCATGAAAGAACTCATTCAATAATGTCCTTAAGATTGGCAAGAAAGAGCCAGGCATGGTGGCTTATAGCCTGTAATCTTCAACTGTGGGGGAGGCAGAGATCTAGAGGATTATTCTTCCAGGCCAGCCTGGTTAGGGAGCTAGCAAAACTCCATCTCTAGCAGTTTTCCCAGTAAGATGTAGGAAGGAACATGGTGGTCCAGGCTAAACCTAAACCAATAAAGGTTGAGGATGTGGCTCAAATGATGTAGCACTTGCCTTGCAAGGGCAAAGTCTTCAGTTCGAATCCTAGTACTGCCAAAAAAAAAGAAATCAAGATAAAAGAATACTAACATGTGTGTTATTATCACAAAACTCATGGTAGATCTTTTCTTCCCATGAGTCAGAATTTTGTCTTTGTGTATACTTTGTCAGAATAGTTGCTTGCTCACGTTTTTCTCCTTTCATTCTCTGCAAGCCATTCTATTAAATATATCCAATATCTCACATCCAGACTGTTGTCAAAAGTAGAAAACAGTACCAAATAGTCTAGATAATGCTTTCTTATTCTAGTAGTCTAGAGCCAGGGCTGTCTACTTCCCTGGAGACTTGTTAGCAACCAAGAGTGCCATGTGTTTACTCAGGGCAAGAGTCTCACCAAGAGGATCTGTTTTATAGCTGTTGGGATCTTCAAAACACCCAGCTGTAGATAGAGACCCTTCCTCAAGAACTCTTAAGTAATATACTGTCCACTCCCAGCTCTCATGCCACCATGGCTCAAGCTGATAGGAATAAGATTCTTGAGAGCTCCAAATTCCTTTGGAGGGGGGAATGTGTGTTTGTGTGTGTGTATATGTGTCAATAAAAGTGTCTATATTATCTATACATGTGTTGAACAATATAATATGTGGGTTGGTTTGCTTTTGAGACAGAGTTTCTCTATGTATCCCAAGCTGGCCTCAAACTTCTGCCTCCCAAGTGGTGTGATTATAGACATACACCATCATGCCTGGCATGGCCTGATAAAAGGGCTACTGTTGTCTGGCAGGTGAACATATCCATCATCCTACATATACCCTTTTTTTCTTTGGTTCAAGAGCATCTAAAATATACTCTTTTTGCCAAAAAAAATCAGTATATTAGCTCTAGTCTACATATTGTACGTTAGATCCTGAGAATTATTTATCTTATTTATGTGCATACTGTGTATCCTTTGACCTGTATTTTCCCATTTCCTCTCCTGCTAACCATGACTGCTGCTTTATATTCTCTGTGTGACTTTTAAAAATATTTTATCTTTAAGATTATGAGATTTTTATTTGGTGTGTGTTTCATTTTATTTACCATAACATCCTCTATGTTTATTCCTGTGGTAGTGGTGGAACCTCTTTTTATAAGACTGAGTAAAATTCCACTATATATTTGTGTGTGTATATATAATATAATATGTATATTATATATATACAGACATGTATATATATAATATAATCACATACACACACACCACCCAAACACACACCACGCATCTTTCCATTGGTGGACAGTGAGGTTGTTTCCATGTCTTGGTAATCATGAGTAACACTGATCAGGGGAACACAGAAGCCTTTATGAGGTGGTGATTCATTTCTGTTGGGTTGGTGTCCAGGGGAGACAAGTCATACATAGTTTGTTGTTAACTTTAGAAGTCTCAGTCTCACTGTTTGCCTCACTAGCAGTGTCAGTCTGCATTCCCAATGGAACATAGTATTTTCTTTCTTCACACCCTTGCTTAGGCTTATCTCTTCTTTTCTTGATAAGTTTCACCCGAGCAAACATTTTGTATTTCCCTGTTGATTATGAGATTGCTTAAAGATATGACTTAAAATTTTCAAAATGAGCCAGGTATCATTGCCTCACACCTGTAATCCTTGCTATTCAAGGAGATCATGGTTCAGAACCAGCCCAGGTAGAAAAGTCCATGAGATTCAGTTTCTAGTATAACCAGCAAAAAGCCAGATTGGAGGCATGGCCAAGTTGGTGGAGCACCACTGAGTATGTAAGCTGAGCGAGTATGAGGCCTTGAGTTTGAATGTCAGTGTATCTAGTATCTCTTTCTCTGTCTGTCTCTGTCTCATTATACAATACTCCCCTACACAGTATTCAAAATTGCAACACCCATAACATAAAATCTTTTTAAAATATTTATTATAGAGGCTCCAGGAACTTTAGCAGTTGCAGTGCTGATGACTTTGAGAAGTTAACTTTAAATAAAGGAGGAAACTGCCTTCTCAATATTCCAAAGCCTGATGAAGCCTACAGTGCCCCATCCTGTGGTAACAAATTGGTGGACCCTGGGGAAGAATGTGACTGTGGCTCACCAAAGGTCAGTTTTAATTTTCATTTTTGCTTTAGGAAATTATCATGAGATTTGCAAAAATAAAATGGTTGGTTTTGGGTGACTCTGGCATAGTAACTAATAGAAAGTTTAGTGGCAAGGAGGGGATAATTGTTTTGTCTGAGTGGATGTGTCACTGGGGATTTGTCACCTTCTGCTTCTCAGAATATAGCTCTAATCATGCCATCAGTTTGGAACCCAAAGGAAAAATGTAGTATCCTATTTTATTTATTTATTTTACATACCTGACAAAAGTGGAGTAATTTATACATGTCCTTTGTGACTAGTTTATGTCAGCACACTGTGATCAAGGACACTGTATTGTATTATTTACAAATGATAAAATCTTTTAAAAGCTGAATAGTAGTCCATGGTGTGTGTGTGTGTGTGTGTGTGTGTGTGTGTGTGTGTTTTCTGTATTCTTTATTCATTCATCTGTCATTAAGCATTTTAGATAGTTTGCACATCTTGGACACTGTGAATATCACAGAGAAATGAGAGTACAGATGTCTGTTTGAGATTTTGATTTTGGTTTAGATAAATAGCAAAAGAGGAATTTCTTGATCATATGGTAGTAAGATTTTAAATTTTTTGAGGTGCCCCCGTACTGTTCCTTAGTGGCATTTCACATTCTAACCCAGTCACGAGTTCCCATTTCTCCACATCCTTGCCAGCACCTTATGTCTTTGCTTTACTGTTGTTTAGAGCAGTCTTAACAGATGAAAAAAGTAACATCAGTTGTGCCTTGGGCTGATATTTCTATTGATGTTTCCATGATCACTGCTAATAGTGAACATCTTTTCATATACCTGATGGCTATTTGTATGTCTTCCATGGAGAAATGTCTGCTAGCATATAATTTAAAAGTACTTTAGCCATAAGAATTTTTAAAAATATTTTAGCCATCAACCCTTCTTAGGTATATAATCTGACAATATATACTCCTACTCACCATTTTGGCTTTTTCACTCTAGTGAAACTTTATATTGTTATAGTCTCACTGGCCTATATTTGCTTCTGTTTGTGATCTTAGTTTCAACTTTCAGAACTGGAAAGACCAGTATCATGAAGCCTTCACTCTTCCCTGGGTGTTTTACTATTTCAGGCCTACATTTCATTGTGTGTGTGTGTGTGTGTGTGTGTGTGAGAGAGAGAGAGAGAGAGAGAGAGAGAGAGAGAGAGAGAGAGAGAATGCACACATGAATCCCTCTCCCCCCTGAATTAAAGGTAGGTTCGGGTGCTTGAACTCAGAGCCTGTGTGCTGTTCCTTGAGCTTTTTTTGCTCAAGGGTAGCATTCTAACACTTGAGCCACAGCTCTACTTCCAGCTTTTTTGGTAGTTTATTGGAAATGAGAATCTCACAGACTTTCCTGCCTGGGCTGTCTTTAAAATATGACCCTCAGATGTCAGCCCCCCCTGAATAGCTAGGATTACAAGCATGAGCCTCGGGTGCCTGGCTCAAATTCTTTAATCTATTTTCAGTTCATTTTCGTGTATATGGTAAAAACAAAAACAAAAACAGCAGCAGCAACAACAACAACAACAACAAAAACTCCTCAAACCTACCAAGGTTCTATTTTCATTCTTCTGCATGTGAAGATCCACTTTTCCCAGCACCATTTGTTGAAGGGACTTTTTTGTACCTGTTCTTTCTTCTTGGCATTGTTGTTGAAGATGAATTGACATTGTTATGCCTGGATTTCTTTCTGTATATCTATTTTTATGCCAGTACTCTACAGTTGAATTACAGTAACTTTGTTCAATAGTTTGTAATCAGGAAGTGTGATGTCTTCAGCTTTGTATTTCTTTTTTCTCCAGATGGCTCTTGCTACTTGAAGCCTGTCCTTTATGATTCCCTATGAATTTCAGAATTGCTTTTTGTAATTCTTGTTTACAATGTCATTGGGCTTTTTATAGGATGTACATTGATTCTGTATATTACTTTGAATAATGTGGTCATTTTACCAGTATTCTTCCAATGGAAAAATTCCATCTGTATCATTTTTGATTGCTTTTACAGTGTTTATAGTTTTTTTTTTGGGGGGTCCGGTCATGGGGCCTGAACTCTGGGCCTGGGTGCTGCCCCTCAGCTCTTCAGCTCAAGGCTAGCGCTCTACCACTTGAGCCACAGCGCCACTTCTGACTTTTTTCTGTTTGCTTATGCGGTGCTGAGGAATCGAACCCAGGGCCTCATGCATGCAAGGCAAGCACTCTACCATTGAGCTACCTTCCCAGCCCCTGTTTATAGTTTTTTAGTGTATAAAACATTCACCTCATTAACTATATTATTTTATTATTTTGATGCTATTGTAACTGCCATTTTTCTCAATTTTCTTTTCATGTAGTTCATTGTTAGTATATAAAAATGAGCCTTTTTTGTTACTTTTTAAATCTTACCACTTAATGATATTAATTTATGCACTATTGGAAGTTGTTATGACACCATTTAAAATAGTTTTTTTTAAAATTTTGTCAGTCATGGGACTTAAACTCTGGGCCTAGGCTCTGTCCCTGAGCTCTTTAGCTCAAGACGAATGCTTTACCACTTGAGCCACAACACCACTTCTGGTTTTCTGGTGGTTTATTGGAGATAAGAGTCTCACGGATTTTACTACCTGGGCTGGCTTTGAACTCTGATCCTCAGATCTCAGCCTCCTGAGTAGCTAGGATTACAGGCATGAGCCACTGGTGCCTGACTTTAAAATAGTCTTTTTATCCTAAACTAACTTTCTATACACATTGTTCCTTTCTCAGTTCTTTAGTCTATTACAAAACTGAGTCTGTCTTGCTGAGCATTTTTTTTTTTTTTGGGTCCAGTGGTGGGGCCTGAACTCTGGGCCTGGGCATTGTTCCTCAGCTCTTCAGCTCAAGGCTAGCGCTCTACCACTTGAGTCACAGCGCACTTCAGGGTTTTTTCTTTTTTGCTTATGTGGTGCTGAGGAATTGAACCTAGGGTCTCAGGCATGCAAGGCAAGCGCTCTACCACTGAGCCAACTTCCCAGCCCCTTGCTGAGCATTTTTGAACAACAAAATTGCTACCTTTATCAAAGTATAATTGAATATGACAATAAAAACTTAAGGTTTACATAGAGAAAACCTTAATTTATAAGGAAGACTATTAGAACGAGAAGAGATCTTTAATATCAGTTTTCAAGCATCTCAAAATCAAACAAATACGTTTTTATCTTAAAGGGAAAGCGAAGATAAACATACCTCCAGCAGAAGCTGGAGAGATGCAGGGAAGTGATCTGTGGGGCACTGATAGGAAAGTGTCAGCTGTGGCTGCAGGATTTTCAGGAAGAAGCCAGCATTCTGTCATTGTGCTGGATTCCTGAGAGAAGTTACCATAAAAGGAGAAAGGTTTATTTTGGCTCAGGATTTAGAGGTTTCATTCCAAACTTACTTGACCATATTGCTTTTGGCCTGAGTAAAGGATGAACATCCAGGGAGCCTGTGGCAGAGGAGGCTGGAAATCTTATGGTAGACAGGAAGCAGAAGGAGCTAGGGAGAGGAGGTGGAGAGAGAAAGAAAAGAGAGTCTGGGAACAAAATTTGCCCTTTAAAATCATTCCCCTAGTGACCTATTTTTGTCAACTAGGCCCCTTCTCTGGATAGCCTGTTAATCAGCTCTCAATCAATGAAGTCCATTGATGAGGTCAGACAGAACATATGATCACTGAACACTGTTGTCGTAGTGGCCTAAAACGTGGGCTTCTAGGGAGCATTCCAGAGGCAGGCTGTAAGAGGGCCATGCATGTTACCTTTTCGTGGTTGTGAAGGCAAGCAAAGTGTGAAATGTTATAGAAAAGAATAAAACGTGACTAAATGTGGGTTGGGATAAAACAAAGAATAAGTTAATATATACTTGTATGTACTGAGTCTACAGGAATTAGACATCTTTAATGAGTGCAGTAGGTAAGTTTTGACACATGTATACATAATTGAAAACTTATTACCATCAAGCTAATGATATCACCTTAAAAAGTTCCTTGTGGATGGGTGCTGGTGGCTTATGCCTGTAATCCTAGCTACTCAGGAGCCTGAGATCTGAGGATTACAGTTCAAAACCAACCCAGTCAGGAAAGTCCGTGATATTCTTATCTCCAATTAACTACCAGAAAACTTAAAGAGGCACTGTGGCACAAAGTGGTAGAATGCTAGCTTTGAGCAAAAGAGCTCAGTACAGTGCTCAGGCTCTGGGTTCAAGCCCATGACTGACAAAAAAAATCGAAAAAATTCCTTATGCCCATTTGGTAATCACCTATGCCCCCCAACCCACTCCATTTTTAGTCAGTCCTGAGGCTTGAACTCAGGGTCTGGACACCGTCCCTGAGCTCTTTTGCTCAAGTCTAGCATTCTACTTCTTGAGCCTCAGCTCTACTTTCTGGCTTTTTGGTGGTTCATTGGACATAAGAATCTTAGGGACTTTTTTTCCCAGGCTGGCTTTGAGCCACAATCCTCAGATCTTAGCTTCCTGAGTAACTAGGATTACAGGCATGAGCCACTGTTGTCTGATTTATACTCACTCCTTTATATCCTCCATTTTTCCTGGACTGTTTCCAACTTTATCTCACTATATATAGTAGCATGCATTTTGCAAGATTTTATAGACATGGAATGGCTTTTGGTATCTTGGTTCTTTCACTCAGCAGAATTTTTGAGACTGGTTTATGTGCAGTTTGGACAACAGTTCCTCCCCACCCCCATTTCCTATTTGCAACTTTGTGTATCTGTCTGTTGATGACTATTTGAGTGGTTTTTAGTGAGTGTACATTACAAATAAAGTTTAGTAGGATAGTCACCTCCTAGATTTTATGTGGACTTAGGTTTATATCTCTCTTGGGCAACCAACCAGGAGTGGAATGACTTGGTCATAGGGAGCTGTGTGTTTGCACAGTGTCCCCTTCCCACTAGGGGGGTAGGGTGTTCAGTGCTACCATCTCCTTATTAGGACCTCATGCCTCCTGGTCTACAGCATTGGGAGCCTGCTAGCTGGAAGGTGTAGCCCCATTCTGGTTGTACTTTGCTAGTTCTCATGCTGATTGTGTGTGTATGTGTGTGTGTGTGTGTGTGTGTGTGTCTATATTTGATATTTATGTATCTTGTGGTGCTGTGTCTGTTCAACTTGTTTACCTCATTTTAGGAACTTGATTAAGTGTTACTAGTTTTGAGAATATCTTCAATATTCTGATATACATCCTTTGACTTATGCACATTCTGTCTAAATTGTACCTTATCCTTAATTAACAGTATCCCCCCGCCAAAGTTGTAAAGTTCGTTTTTCGACATAACGACTTGTACATCTCATTGTTGTAATGGGTCCACCTGTATCCCTATTTAAACGGTTTGTTTTTCCCCTTCCCCTCCACAAATTATACCAACATCAAATACAGTGAAAGCAGGGGTTATACCGTGGGGGAGGGACATACAAAGCAACAAAGAAATAATCTTATAAATGTGTTAGAAACAATCACATGAAAGAAAAAAAACATTTGAATACATATCTTAGGGTTCATTTCCTTAACATCACCTTATCTGACTTTTTCTGCTTGACTCAGACATAAACTAGATATTACAAATAAGGGAAACCATGGGACCTATATTTCTTTGGGCCTGGCTTACTTCACTTAATAGAATTTTTTCCAAGCCTCTCCATTTCCTAACAAATGGGGCAATGTCATTCTTTTTGATTGGAGGTACAGAATTCCATTGTGTATATATACCACATTTTCTTGATCCATTCATCTACTGAGGGGCATCTGGGTTGGTTCCATATCTTAGCTATGGTGAATAATGCTTCAATAAACATAGTTGTGCTGGTAGCTTTAGTATGGTCTTGTTTGTGATCATTTGGGTAAATGTCCAAAAGTGGGATTGCTGGGTTATAGGGGAACTCTATGTGGAGTCTTTTGAGGAACCTCCATACTGCTTTCCAAAGTAGTTGAACAAGTTTATACTCCCACCAACAATGCAGTAGGGTTCCCTCCTGTCCATATCCCCTCCAGCATCTGTTGTTATTAGAGTTCTTGATTATAGCCATTCTACCTGGGGTGAGGTGGTATCTCAGTATAGTTTTGATTTGCATTTCTTTTATGGCTAGAGAGGTTGAGCATTTCTTCATGTGTCTATTGGCCTTCCTTCTTTCCTCTTCAGAGAAGTTTCTCTTTAAGTCTTTAGCCCACTTATTTATTGTGTAGTTGTTTCTTTGAGGATTTGTTGTTGGGGGAATTAATTTTTTGAGTTCCAGGTATATTTTTAGATATGAGACCCTTGTCCATTGTATGGCTAGTGAAGATACTTCTCCCAATCCGTGGGCTTTCTATTGATCTTGCTAGCTATCCAGTAGATGAAAAGACATAATTAAAATTAAATCAGAATTAAATGAATTAGAATCCAAAAAAACCATAGGAAAAATCAACAAAACAAAGAGTTGGTCTTCAAAAAATTTAACAAAATTGACAGACTCTTAGCAAATCTTATCAAAAAAGAAGAGAATATACCCAAATAAATAAATTCAGAGATGAGAATGGAAATATCACCACAGAAACAACCAAGATTCAGAACATTATAAGGGAATACTTCTCAAACCTTTATGCTAATAAGTTTGAGAACTTGGCAGAAATGGACCTTTTCCTAGCAAATATCGACATGCTGAAACTAAACCAAGATGAGTTAAACCATCTTAACAGGCCCATATCAAGCATTGAAATAGAAACAGCAATAAGAGACCTCCCATCTAAGAAAAGCCCAGGACCAGATGGATTTACAGCAGAATTCTACAAGGCCTTCAAAGCAGAGCTCACACCAATACTCCTCCAACTCTTCAATGAAATTGAAAGAGAAAGTTCACTACTGAACACATTCAATGAAGTCATCATAACCCTCATCCCAAAACCAGGCAGGGACTCATCAAAGAAAGAGAACTATAGACCCATTTCTTTGATGAACATAGATGCAAAACTTCTCAACAAAATATTGGCCAGTCGACTTCAACAATTCATCCAAAAAATCATACATCCCCGCCTGCAAGTTATTGTGTAGTTCATTTTAACAGTATCTTTTAAAGATCAGAATGTGTATATTTGATTAACTCTATTTGAACTTGTATGGATTGTATTCTTGATTTTTAATCCAAAAGTTCTTTGCCTACTCTCAACTTACTGAAGTTTTCTTCTTTCTTTCTTTCTTTCTTTTCTTTTTGCATTGCTAGGGTTTGAACTCAGGGCCTTGCTAGGCAGGTATTCCATGCTTCCACCTTTTTTTTTTTTTTTGCTTTAATTGTTTTTTAGATAGGGTGTTGAATTTTTGCCCATAGTAGCTTCAGGTAATGTTCTTCCCACCTGTGCTTTCAATGTAGCTGGGATTACAATGTGAGCTATAATGCCTGCCTTTATTGTTAATTGAGGCTGGGTCTTGCTTACATTTTTCCCTTGGCTGTCTGCAAATCCTAGTCCTTTTGAGCTCTTCCTCTTGAATTTCTGAGATTACAGGTGTGTGCCAATACACCCAGCTCCAGATTTTAGATTTTCCATTTATGTTAATTTTCTATTTTGACTTGTTGTTTTTGGTATATTGCAAATTCATTATAGTTCATTTATCTTACAGTTTTTACTGTGAGATGGAGATCCTATTTGATCAGTGTACATTGAATAGTTGTGTTGAAATACCATGCTGGCCCATAAATTTGTATAGTTATTATATGTTAACTAAAAGAAAAGTGAAGTTTAATACTTTTATTAGGAAATATTTGTAAGCAGATAGGAAATTGGAAAATAGTACATACACTACTAATAGACTCTTAAGTCATTTTTCCCAAGTGGTGGCATCTGATAAGGATGTAGCACATGGTAAGAATTAGACCACTGATTCTGCTATATTAACACAGGAGAGAAGAGATTTCTGTTCATTAAGCCTCCCAGTCTGTGGTACTCTATGATAACACTCTGATCAGACTAAGGCATATATGCTGACTTTAGTCTTCTAAGATGTGTTGAGACCAAAATACTAAAGCTACAGAGGCTGATCACTCTAAAAGTCTAGTTTAGGAGTTGTTTATGGAGAAACTTCACTGACACGGTTAGAATGAAGCAGATTTTAAGAAAAGAAAAAAGACTTATTTGTGACCTCTAATAATCTATTTCTTTGCTCACAGCTATTCTCTCTTCACAGGAGTGTGAGCTGGACCCATGCTGTGAAGGAAGTACTTGTAAGCTGAAATCATTTGCTGAATGTGCCTATGGTGATTGTTGTAAAGACTGCAGGGTAAGGAATTCCTTCCTATTAGGAAAAAAAAAAGAATTGAAAAAGAAAACTCGATGAACTTTGTGATGTTTCATTAGGATTTATGCACCTGGGTCCAGGATTTGTGAAGGTTTCGATCTCTTGTATGTTCATTCTCACTTGCTGGTTTCTTGCAGTTTCATTAAAATGGAGTAATAACTGGGTAGTGGTGGTGGTGGTGGTGGTGGTGTGTGGATCAAAAGGGTGGGTCTGTACTTTCGATATTTAAGACACTGTGTGTATGTGTGTGTTTGTGTTTGTGTGTGTGTGTGTGTGTGTGTGTGTGTGTGTGTGTACTCCTCTCCACCCATTCTGAGGAAGCTTGATTTCATAGGTTAATGCAGGTAGTAAGCCAGGGGTATTTGTTAAGTTCTAATGAAGATCAGTCATCAATACTGCTCTGATATATTTATTTTTTTTGATGAATATAGGATCCAAGGTGTATTTTAGTGCTCTAGGAAGACCTTCTTTTACCAGGTGCTAGTAGAAAGGAGATAGAGAGGATAGAGCCACTGGAAAAATGTTGGTATTTGGTTATATGTGGTAGCTGGCTTTATGAAAGAAGTTAATAGGAAGGTGGAGAGTAAGGTAAACAGAAGAAAATTAGTTAATATTGTATAGTTAGGGATCGAGGAGGTAAAGTCAGGAGAGATTAGTAGATATATAGACATACATACATAACAAAACCAGTGATCATGGAGAAGAAAAGAAAAAAAATTAACATGAAAACCAAACATAGAAAGCAAAAAATGAAAAACAAATAAGAAGAAGTAATGTTCAACTAATGTAGTTAGTAGGTAATGGGGAAGATTTAGCAAAGGAAAAGCAGAAGTAGGAGAGATGAATAAGAGGAGAGTTCTACTTCTTGATATAAGGAGGGTATAGAAGGGGAGTGTTATAGGAAGGAGGTGAAATTATGATCCAAAGAGAATACTACAAGAGATAATGGGCTTCAGATAGCATACTTTTAAATAAAAGGAAGAGGGAGAAGCAAAATACAAGATGAAGTGTTAGAATATAGCAATTATAAAGTAAATGGTGTTGGTCTGATTTACAGAAGAGAATAACCATATAGTTAGATAAATATAACACTCAAACACTTGAATCAATATAAGAACAAAGACAAACAGGCTTATATTCAACATGAATTTATTTTTCTTGTTTGCCTCAATATATGTATGTGTAAATGTATATATTTAAAAAACAACATAAGTATAAATATATATTCATAAGAAAAATATATTTTCCTTGCATATATATAAATATATTAATATATAAACTTATCTGTAGATTGCAAAAGGCTGTTTTACATTTAGGCCTTCCCTCAGAAGGCCTTACATGGGACAAGGGCCTTCAGAGTTCAAGCTGATGGCTGATGTGTCTCTTTTTGACTTAGTAGGAAGTCCCAAGGCTGCTTAGCTCCAGGAGGTGGAATCCTGCCTTTATCTAATTGTGGGTTGTGCTGCACTTGTTTGAACTTCCATTATCTCTGTCTCCCTGTGCAATGATGCACTGGGATCCTGCAGCCTCTGGCTTCCTGGCTGTCTACCTTCTCAAATCTTAAATTTTTGCTCTTCCCCGCCAACTGTTTTGTCCTCTTTTCCCATACCTCTTATAACTGATTTAACTCCGAGTTCTATGGTAAAGTGACTTGCGGGTTGTTAAGCTGTGACTGCTTCTTAACACGTACTCCCAGAGAAGCTTTCTCAATATGACAACTCTGCATTCTCTAGGAGACATTCAAATTTCTTCCAATTAATTTATATTAGAGGAATTATTGGGCTAGAGTATGCATCTTGAAAGTTTTGATCTGTGTTTTGTATGTCTCCCACAAGTTTGCTAGTCTTTGCTGATGTCAGCAGTGTTAATAACCAGTTTGCTCTAAGAGATAACATTGGTTACTAGCAAGCACTATAATCTGAGTTGGTATAATAGGTACAATATTCATTTGTTCCTGTTTACTCTGCAATTTTTAGTTTGCTTTTTATTTTCATTTGTCATGTTTATGAATTGCTCATTATTGGCCCTTGTTTATTTTTCTCTTGGGTTATTATGTCTTTTATTGCTAGAACTCTTCAAAATGTGACTAATTGGTGGAAATGTTTCCGATCAGGAATATAATTTGAATCTTCTTACCCTAGTTCCTTCCAGGAGGCTCTTTGTGCCGAGGAAAATCCAGTGAATGTGATGTTCCAGAGTATTGCAATGGTTCTTCTCAGTTCTGCCAGCCAGATGTCTTTATTCAGAATGGATATCCATGCCAGAATAACAAAGCCTACTGTTACGATGGAATGTGCCAGAACTACGATGCACAGTGCCAAGTCATCTTTGGTTCAAGTAAGATATTCACAGTCAATCTCTTTGATTTTACCTATTTTTCTTCAGAGTTTTTTTTTTTTTTTTAAAGGAAAACAAATGTTATTGATGGTGTCTTTTCCCTCTCCTGCTATATCTTCTTTCTTTTCCAGTGACAGTCATGATCATGAATTTTCATGTCTAAATTTGGCTGATTTTTTTTATTCATATAAAATATATACATATATGCACATATGTAGTATTGTTTTCTAGATTTTTATTTGTTTTTTTTGCAGTAATGGGGCTTGAACTCTGGGCCTGGGCACTGTCCCTTAGCTAGCCACAGAGCCACTTCTGGTTTTCTAAGTGGTTTATTTGGAGATAAGAATCTTAGGGACATTCCTGCCGTGGCTGGCTTTGAACCATGAACCTCAGATCTCAGCCTCCTGAGTAGCTAGGATTACAGGCATGAGCCACAGGTGCTCGGCTGTTTTCTAGATGTTTTGTGTGAGGAATAAAATGCAGATCTTCATATATGTTATACAAATGCTCTCCTAATAATCTCCTTCCTCTAACTACTAATATTCTTGTTTGAATCATATAAGGTTATTTGCCTGGTCTATTTTCATCCTTCACCCAGAATATTCTTGAGCTCTATCAATATTAGTATATATATCATAGTAAATTATAGTAATTGATTAGTTAAATAGACCATGATTTTGATATACATTTTCTTAGGGATGGATATATAATGTGTGCATTTAGTTTTCCCATATTTTTCTTTTTAAAATTTTCATTTTTTATCAAAGGTATATGCTAGATTTAAAAAACCAATTTACTGTATGGGGTTGGGAAGGTGGCTCAGTGGTAGAGCGCTTGCCTTGCATGCCTGAGGCCCTGGGCTTGATTCCTCAGCACCACATAAGCAAAAAGAAAAAATCCAGAAGTGGCAATATGGCTCAAGTGGTAGAGCGCTAGCCTTGAGCTGAAGAGCTGAGGGACAGCGCCCAGGCCCAGAGTTCAGGCCCCACGACCGGAACCCCCCCCAAAAAAAACCCCACAAAACCCCCAACTTACTGTATAGTGTATATTTTGAAAATTAAACCTTTTTTCTACCCAGCTCCCCCATCCTTTGAGGCAATAAGTTTTATTATTATTTTTAATCTAACTTTTTTGTTATTTTCACTAGGTCTTTAGATATCTCTTGATAATGCTGCTTTTTTTGATTTTTTGAGGGATGAAAATTAGTTTTCCTTCTGTTTCTGTTTTCAGCCCTGACCTATCATCCATGTACATGTTCTTTAATTCTGCATCTTCTCAGCATGGATTCATTGTAGTTTTAGAGCAGTGTTGACTGCTCGTTGTGTAATAAACATGCAACACTATCCACAACTGACCTGTGTAGTAGGTTATAGTTGCTTTTCTGCCTTTTGTTTTTTCTAGAATTAATAGTTCCTTTTTTTTCTCAGTCAGTTAGTTTTGTGTATATTTACCACTGATTAAACTGCAAGAGGTTAGCCTGTATCCTGGTCTTGCCTTGAGGTGTTTACAGGCATCCAGTGTTCTGCTCATTTCAATCTATTTGAAGGAGTCTGAACAGAAGATCTCTTCCTCCCTCCTCCCGCCCCACATTCCTTTGGGTGTTGTCTTATAGTCTTCTGAATTTGTCAGAATTCTTCAGAGAACAGAAGCAATAGAGTATAAATGTATGTACATGTATACATACAGATATAAACACATATGCAGATACATACCTCACACTCTGAATTGACACACGTGGTTATAGAAGGCTAGTAAGTACCAGATTGCAATGTGATCAGCAGAGGTAATGGTCTCATTCTAGGCTGAGTCTAAGTGCTTTACAACCAGTAGGGCTGGTGAAGTGGTTCCAGTTTGTGAGCCAGGAAGAGCTGGTGTTTCAGTTCTGTTCCAATGGCAGAAAAAAAGCTGATGTCTCAGTTTGATTGAGAGTCATTCATGAGGACAATCTGCTTTACTAACTCCACTGAATAAAAGTTAACCTCAGCCCAAATTGCCCTATAGACAGAAAGTCAGTATATGTTATTTTACATAATAAAGAGGTAAGAGAGGGAAGAAAATAAGGACATTGTATCACAGTTATATTTGTACCAAAATAAAGAGAAATGTTGGTAATGATTACAGTTCTCATTCAGTAATAGTTCATGTGGTCACCTGTCTATTTATTCGATATTCCCTAAGTACCTCAGCTGGTTGTGATTTTTTAAACTGGTAGGGTGACTAACTTACCATTCCTGAAGGGTCTAGATGCTTAGGGGTTTTGATTTGATTGTTGCAGTTTTAGTAGTAATTTTAGTGAGTGGGACTGGAAATACTGAAACTGTTGTAAGGGCTCTCTAGTATTGCAGACATGCTGTTCTTCCCCCCCCATTGTAGGACAGTAGTCAAGTTTTCACTTAGTAATCTACTAGTCAGGATCAGTTATCTAGTCAGAGTAGTGAACTCCCTCTTTGCCTGAAATATGAAGAGCTCAACATGGTTAGATGTTTTACTTCCCAGTTCGCTGGAACCCTTCTGGCAACTTCTGGTGGAAGACTATTTCCCTTTGAAATGAAGACCTCTAACCAGCAGAGCATAAAGTTATGCAATAATAAGTATAATTTTGCTAGTGGGTTACTAGGGGTGACAGTGAGTTTTGCCAGTTACATTTCTACCCCTGGCTTCCCCTGACTCTGTTTTGGGAAAATAAGCATAAATAATCAGAGAATATATATCCTTTTGAATAACTTTACCCTAGTCCTTCAAGGTACTACTAGTGCAAGCTAGTATTTCTATCATTCATTAATGAGATAGCCACTTTGAGATCATGTGGAACAGGCTAGCTATCACAGTGAATTCCATAAGCACAGCTTCATTGCTGCTTATCATTTGTTCTGAAGTGAATTCCTTAAACTTAAGCAAAGCTGTATGGAATATCATGGTAGTGGATAAGGAATTTGGTAGATCCGTAGATGCTAGTTTTGCAGGAGCTTGTATGTAGGGACATTCAGCAAATCCACATCCAGAGTGTCTATTTCAATAAGAATTAACACTGGCCCTTCCTTCCTGGAAAGGGAAGAGCAAAATCTCCCTACTTCCAGGTTCTTTGGGCTAATCTCTCTAGGGAATGTTACCAATTAGGTTCTTTGCTGCCAGTGGACTTGGTATTTAGCATTGACTGTAGCAAAGTCAGCTATTTTTTCTGAGCTCATGAATAACCACTAACTCTCCCACTATGGGTACTTTGTTTATGAGCCTTTTGGGTAATGAAAGGAGTGGCTGGAGAAAGCGGCTGGCCACAGTCTACAGAATGGATCATCCTATCTGTTTGATTATTAAAACCACTGGCCACAGTAAGTCGATGGGTCTATAATTACATATCTGTTTACCTGTTCTTCCAGGCATAGCAAAGAATCAGGTACACTTGATGGATGTCCTAGAAAATAGCTATAGTGTTATAGATGTCCACTCTTGGGGGGTGCCTGCCTAATTTGAAGAACCTTTTGTAATCTCATCATCATTCTTTTCCTACTCTGTCAACTCATGGTGGAGAATTCACCTTGAAGTAATAGGTGCTGGCTAGAAGAGAAAGATCTGTGCAGTTGGAGTGAGGATTGTGGATAGTTGGGCTTCTTCATATAATTGACCTGTGCTTTTGAGGCCAGCTTGTTTCTAGTCACATGCATACCATTTCCATTTTATGATGTTGCATTTGCCAGCTTCTTGGCTTAGTAGGTCAGATGACACCCAAGTTTATGATGGGCAGCTCATGTTCAACAGTAACTTGGGGGCCCATGGATAAACATTCAGTTTCTACTAACTGCCTAGTAGCAGATCAAGAGTTGTTTCTGAAAAGGAGAGTAGTTATACTCTTTAAAGCTTTGCTTTAAAATCCTAAAGGTCTGTGCTGTGATTCACCTGTCAAAAACTGTTGTGATGTTAGGAAAATGAACCCTAAGATATGTATTTAAATGTTTTTTTTTCTTTCACGCATTTGTTTCTAACGCATTTATACGATTATTTCTTTGTTGCTTTGTATGTCCCTCCCCCACAGTATAACCCCTGCTTTCACCGTATTTGATGTCGGTATAATTTGTGGAGGGGAAGGGGAAAAACAAGTCATTTAAATAAGGATACAGGCGGACCCATTGAAACAATGAGAAGTACAAGTTGTCATGTCGAAAACAAACTTTACAACTTTGGTGGGGGGGTGGGGGGAGGATTGGGTGGGGGGGGAGGCTTGGAAGGGATGGGAAGGGGAAACAAAGGAGGAGGCTACAATGCTTGATAAGAAATGTACTCATTATCTTGCCCATGTAATTGTAACCCCTCTGTACAGTTTTTTCACAATAAAAAAATAATTAAAAAAGAAAAACTGTTGAAGGCTCCACATAGCATTCTTAGCCAAACTTCAAGTATTTGAATTATGTGGCCTAAGTGGCAGAGAATCTTACATGGCATTCTGGACCTGTTGCAGAGCCTTTTTCTCTGCTGGGTCACACCCAAAACAAGTTGTAAATGGTCCAGAGTGACACAACCAAACAGAGAATACAGTCATACATTGGTTAATGATGAGGATATATTCTGAGAAATGTTGTTTTAGGAAGTCCATCATTGCACGAGTCTATATTGCCTTCAGATTCTTTTTTTTTAATTGTGAAAATACTGTACAGAGGGGTTACAATGACATGGGCATGATAATGAGTATATTTCTTACCAAGCATTGTAACCTCCTCCTTTGTTTCCCCTTCCCATCCCATCCTCAACCCCAACCCTCCCCCCCCAAAGTTGTAAAGTTCGTTTTCGACATAACGACTTGTATGTCTCATTGTTGCAATGGGTCCACCTGTATCCCTATTTAAATGATTTGTTATTTTCCTTCCCCTCCACAAATTATAACAACATCAAATACAGTGAAAGCAGGTTGCCTTCAGATTCTAATGAGGCCATTAGGTGTTAGGTACCTTTCTGGTTGTGGAGGGCCAGAAATAACACCTCACTGGTCACCTTAGAATGAATGTCTTATTATATCTCACACTGTAGTAGTATCACTGAGATAGACAATCCCTGGATTAATTTATTACCTTCTGTCATGCAAATGTCTTCCAAAGTTTATAGTGCTTGCTCGTTCTTTCCTACTAGATCTAGTAAACTTATTTTCAGTGTAATGGACTGGTATGATTTTTAGGGGAAGTAATCAGCAATGAAGAGCCTTACAATTAAATTATGACCTTGGGTTGGAGTTGACATAGTCATGAACTAAAGCAGGGAAGGTGTACTGCTGACCTTGACTGCTGAAAGCACTTGCTTCTTGTTGGCCTCGCTGACAAGTGTGGGGAGATCACAGCTCAGCCATGTATTAGAGGATATATGGATTTGCCCATGTAATGAACCACAGCTGGTACAGCATCTGCAGTTTTAACCATCACCTTGGTTAAGCTTGTGATAATCCACTTTTACTCTCTAAGAACCTCTCATCTTTAGCAGATAAGTGAAATGAATGGAAATGTGGTGAGATTCACTGCTCCTGAATCTTTCCCACACTGATAGTCATACTAGTCTCTGCCATCCCTCCAGAAATGTGGTATTGCTTTAGGGATACTATTTTACAAGATAGAAACACTCTAGCCGCTTCTTCCACCTGACCTTCCCACATAATCATCTTTACAGATCAGGGAACCAAAGGAGGGCTCTAGCAGTAGCTCCATAAGTGCATTACAATTCTGCATTCTGGAACTATGGAAAAAAAGCACATGTACAAGATAGGTTGGGGAATCACTGGGTCTCCCATGTGGAACATAAAAAGGAAACTTAAAACATTATTTATTATCAAATCTTCATGAGTGCTGGGCCTCAGTGATTCTAGACCTGCTGGAAATCTCCTGTGTTATCAAAGGGACTGACTTTTTTTTATTTTTAAATTTTTACTTTTATCATTAAGAACTTGTACAACGAGTTGCCATTTTACAAAATTGTATGTATGAATACAGTGAATTTGGATCAGTGTCATTCATCCTTTTCTTTTCATCATTCTCCTCTCAACCCCCAACCCTAATCTTTTTTTTTAACCCAATGCCTAGCATCTTGGTCTGATTGATTGTGTCCAAATCTTAATCTTATTTGCTGGTTTCTCCAGCAATGTACCACAGCCTGGGTAAGTTATAAGGGATAGAAATTTGTCTGTTCACAGGTCTGGAAGCTGGGACACCCAAGATCAAGGTGTTAGGATCTGGTTAGGTTTCCATGCTGTGTCATCACATGGTGGCAGGCAGAAGGACATACGATAAGCAGGATGAAGTTTTACCCTTTTCTAATATATTAATTCTGAGAGAGAATTAATGGGGAGAGCCCTCAGAGCCTAATCAACTCTTAAACACTTCCCCTTTTAATACTGTTACAGTGACAATTACATTTTAACATGATTTGGGGATGGAATAAACATTCAAATGTAGCAAGTACTATAACAAGGTAACAGAGTGGGCAGCTTAAACAACAAATATTTATTTCTCCTAGACTTGGAGGTTGGGAAGCCCAAGATCAGGGTTCCTGCTCCTTTGGTTCCTGATGAGGGCTCTCTTCCTCACTTTCCACCTGTGTCTTCATGTGGTGTTAGAACAAAGAAAAAGAAATCTCTTTCTTCTTTTTAGCCCACTAATCTTATAAAGAGGACCCTGCTCTCATGATCTCATCTAACTCCTAAAAGGCCCATTTCAAAATTGCATCCCATTAGGGCTTAAGGCATCAACCTAGAATTTTGGACTGTTTAACCATTCAGTACATACACATATTTCTTCTGGTGAAGGCCATTGATCCTTTAGGTATGGCTGAGATAATGATCAATTGGATACATTTGGGGGACTGCACTATTTCCTATAGAGACTGATTTTCCCTTCATCTAAACAGTGCTGTTTCTATAAACTATCTCAAATCAGGCCATAATCTGTTGCCTACTTTTTGCTCTATCTCCTTGTGCTTTGTTCTAGCCACCCAACCAAACAAAATGATAGAACCTTTCTAACTCCTCAAGGGGCAGTAGTAAATGCAGAATCTCTGCTTTGTGAGCCTTGGCCAATAAATTTGGCCTAATCCATTTCCCCTACACTCTTTTTTTTATTGTGAAAATACTGTACAGAGGGGTTACAATTACATGAGCAAGGTAATGAGTCCGTTTCTTAACAAGCATTGTTGCCTCCTCCTTTGTTTGCCCTTCCCATCCCTTATGACTTGTACATCTCATTGTTGCAATGGGTCCACCTGTATCTCTATTTAACCAATTTGTTTTTTCCCTTCCCCTCCACAAATTATACCAACATCAAATACAGTGAAAATACAGTTTCCCTGCACTCTTAAGATCCATTTCCTTATCTGTGCCTTGGATTTCTGTCTATATTAATTAGAAACTCAAGTATCCCTTTTGGATAATAGCGAGTCATTTTTTGAAGTACAGTGAGTATAGCTCACCTTTAGGTATTGCTTGGACTTGGGGGTAGAATTGACTTGTATATGGCAGCTGCCTCAGGGGCGTCAGTATGGGGTTAATTTCCTCAGATGGTTAGGAGACCTCAGAAGGAGGAGCAAGCCCCTTGCACTGCAGGTGAAAGGGTTGCAAAGTAAAGTCATGCCCTAGATAATAAGGGACCATGGTTTTTTTTTTTTTTTCCTGATCGGTCGTGGGGCTTGAACTCGGGGCTTGGGCACTGTCCCTCAGCTCTTCAGCTCAAGGTAAGCGCTCTACCGCTTAAGCCATAGCGTCACTTCTGGTTTTCGAGTGGTTTGTTGGAGATAAGAGTCTCATGGATGGACTTTGCTACCCAGGCTGGCTTTGAACCGCAATCTTCAGATCTCAGCCTCCTGAGTAGCTAGGATTACAGGCGTGAGCCACCAGTGTCGGTGGGACCATGGATTTTATGTGGAAATTCCAAGATGAGATTGCATTTCCCCAGTTCTATGTGGAGAAAAGTTTTCAGTAGCAGAGAGAGGATTTGGATAGTTGCTGTGTAGTCATTCTGCTGAGAAGTCATGAAGAAGACCTAAAGGCAGGGCAGCACCTGCAGTGAGCTTTGTTTTAATTACACCTGGGTGCCTTGGGTTCCCATGGTGACAGCCTGCACTGAACACATCCCTGTTTCCTTCATTGGCTGCAGGTGATTGGCTGCTGCTTGGGGGAAAAGTTGCATTTCAAAAAGCCAGGAGTGGATGGACACTTTGTCCCCTGTCCTAGATTTTTGTTTTTGTTTTTTTAAACCAGTGTATGGATTTCGTAGAGATATCTAAACCAAGCACCTGCTTACAGTAAATAAAAAGCAAGAGAGCTGAAGATTCACTTCTCCAGCCTGATGTAGCCAGTTGTGCAGCAGGGGTATACTTGATAGCAGTGGGGCAGATGCTGACATCAGCACCACACCACACTGCGAGTTCTGCTGTGAAGTTCCTATTGAAATGTGTGTAGGACCCCAGTGTGTGAGTCCAGGCTTTTTATGCAATCTAAGCTTTCCATTTCTCCCTCTCCTCTCCTCTCCTCTCCTCTCCTCTCCTCTCCTCTCCCCTCCTCTGCTCCCCTCCCCTCTCCCCTCCCCTCCTCTCCCCTCCTCTCCTCTCCTGTGCTCTGCTCTCCTCTCCCCTCCTCTCCTCTTCTCTCCTCTGTTCTCCTCTCCCTTCCTCTGCTCTCCCCTCCTCTCCCCTCCCCTCCTTTTTTCCTTCCCTCCCTCCCTCCCTTCCTTCCTTTTCTTTCTTTCCCTCCCCCTTCCCTCTCCCTCTCCCTCCCTCCTTCCCTTCCTTTCTTCCTCTTTCTCTTTCATTCCTTTCCTTTTGAACTATTTTATGGGTCGGGCCAGTGACATTTTCAGTGGTGTGGAAGTAGTTCGCTCAGGTGTGTGGAATGTCATAAAGAATACTTTTTATTTATAAATTGCCATAACTTTTTTTTTCTCTTCTAAATGTTTAATGTTACAGAAGCCAAGTCTGCCCCAAGAGATTGTTTCATTGACGTGAATTCTAAAGGTGACAGATTTGGCAATTGTGGTTTCTCTGACAATGAATACAAGAAATGTGCCACTGGGTAAGTGGAGATGAGGAGTGGAGGGCTGTGAGGGATGGTGATGCAGTCATCTCTAGTTTCTCTGTGTTCTTGGGACCTGCTGGCTCACTCTTCACTCAAATACCTAACTTCAAACTTAACATTTTTCTACACAAGATGTGTTAGGAACAAAACTAGTAAGATAGTTCATCCCTTTACCTGTCAGCTCTCTCAAATATGAGTTTTAGAATCCTACTTTGTTTATCCTTGATTTATAATGACTCCCAACTAAATAACTTGTCATTTTTCTTTCAATAAAAGATTCAATTAACTAAGCTCCAAGATAAAGGGTACAACAGAATTAATTCAGACTAACATTATTCTAACTCTATAAAATGACTTAAAACTTTTTTTATTTTTATAATTAAACAACATGAAATAATTAACAATATGAAAATTAGAAAGATGAACGAAGTCATCCCTTATTTGAATCCATGTGTTTTTAGTCACTTTAGTGTATTTTCTCCCTCATGGTGTCTGCACTGAAGATACTTGCACTGGCATTTTACACAGTAGGAATTATTGTGCAATACTGCATATTGCTACTACCTACTCTGCTTCCTCACCTGTCAGGCAAATTAAGCAGCTATAGCAAGACAGTGCTTGCTAGTGAGGAGAGATAGCAGTGGTGTCTTAAACATGAGATAAACACTGACATTCGTAGGTCTTCATGCTGCTTGACCTTACACAGCAGTTAGTCAGTGATGGTGACTTTTTCTTTGTTGTTGTTGTTGGTCGTGAGGCTTGAACTCTGGGCTTGGGTGCTGTCCCTGCGCTCTTCAGCTCAAGGCGAGTGCTCTACTGCTTGAGCCACAGCACTATTTCCAGTTTTCTGGTGGTTTATTGGAGATAAGAGTTTCATGGACTTTCCTGCCTGGGCTGGCTTTGAACCATGATCCTTAGATCTCAGCCTCCTGAGTAGCTAGGATTACAGGTGTGAGCCACTGGTGCCCGGCTCTTTTTTGTATTTTTTTGTTTTTTTTTGAAGAAACTTCTTTCCTTGGCTTTGTGTAGGAAGTCCTTCTTTATCATCTCCCTGCCATACCCACACACAGGTGGTTTTATTACTTCTGTGGTTTTATTTGCCATCTAGATATCATCTGTATGCCAAGCTTGCCTATGTATGGTCTTCTGCCTTCTACCATAGGGCCTCTGAACAGGAGGTTCCTTCTTGGTTTTGTTAATTATGCTCATGTCCAAATCTCTGGCCAAGTAGGACTTCCCTAAGGAAGATTTCTAGTTTGACTCATGAGCTATTAAAGGTATCTTGTTTAACTTCTAAATAGTTGGTAATATTCTGGCTGTTTGAGTTATAGTTTAATTCTATTCAGAACATGTTCTGCATGGTTTTCGCTTTTCAGAGTAGTCTGAGATTTGCATTATTGTCTGGGGTGAATGTTCATGTGCAATTGAAGAACAAAGTCTATTCTTCAGTGTTGGATGTGCAGTTCTAAAAATGCCAACTTGATTGATAGTGTTATTCAGTTTTCCATATCTTCTAGGGAGGGGGCAATTACCAGTTCTTTCAGTTTTTGGAGAGGTAGATTAAACTCTAGAAGTTCTGCAAATTTTTGCTGCATGTGATTAAGTCTTCCTGATGAATTGATCCTTTTATTACTGCCAAAATTTCATCATTATATCTTGAATAGTCTTGTGTATTATTTGCTATAGTCTCATTTCTTTTTGTGACTACTTACTTACCACTTTCCCTCACTAAACTGTGAGACCCAATGTGTTTAGGATTAATAATGCCTGGGACATAATGCCTCTTAAATGTTGGTTGCCTAAATGAGTGAATGAAGATACAGCTAGTCTTAAGTTAAGAATGAGTGGGTGGAGAATTAGATGGAAGGAATTGAGCAAAGACCCAAGGGTCTGTGTGGCTTGACTTGTGCCACGGGATTTTCTTTAGCTCAGAAACTAAATCTGAAATCTTAACGTGATTCATGTGAAGTACTTTTGCAAGGATGATTCAGTGATATATTGCATTAAGGAAACACATAGTACTATTGTCTTCTTGTTGGTAATACTGGTGGCAGTGAAAGAATTTTACTATTGGAAGTTTTACATTTTACTATTGGAAGCTTACATGGGGTAGTGAGATTGTAATATATGAATGAATACTCAGTTCCCCATCAGTGCTTAAACTCATGGATGATACTTCACTGAAGCAATTGCTTGAATTGCAGTATACTTACCTTTAATGTAACAATGAATATCTCTTCTGACATATTTTTGGTTATTTGAATTTTTAATTGTAGGAACTGCCTATTTGCAAGTTTTTTAATGTTATAGTTAAGTCTTCTAATTATTTGTAAAAGCTTCTTATGTATTAAGAGGTTACATTTATATAATTATATAAATACTAATATCTGCTATTAGTATTTAACACTATTAATCATAATACCAGGCATTCTAAATATTGATACATAAATCTTTTAATATTTTAAACATTAATAAATATGAACACATTACATATTCATATATTAACATTTTCCTTTTACACTTTAATGTGTGACCAAGACTTTATATGGAATGCTGAGAGTATCATGACAATATGAATTTTGATGAATCCAAAAGACATTAACTGAAGTCTGCTTTATGCTATGCACTGTTCTGGAGTTTTCATATCTAATTTTGGCCACAATGTGGGCATTACTGTTTCCTTTGTTTGCCATGAGGAAACTGAAACACAGAAAGGTCACCTAGCAAATAAATGGCTACATAAAAATAAACACAAAATTGGGAACAATGGTTAACTCTTAAGGTAGAGTAGAGGAAAGGTGGAGACTTAATAGCAACATATTAAAAAACAGGAGTTTTAGTTATAAAAGCAAGGGCTTCAGTTATGTAAAGTAGCTTTTATAAAAGCTGCTGTATATAATCTTACACTTATTAGAACTATAGCATCTAGAATTAAGGAAAACAGAGCTTCATTTGTTTTCTTTGCTTCTTAAGCAAAGATCTTAGTGTCCTCCCCTCCGCTCCCCGTTTCTCTCTTTCATGTTTAAACAGAGCTGCTATTGCTCTCAAACACTTTCACTCTGAAATTCCCTCCTTTCAGCCAAATAATGGCAATGCTGTCTACACACAAACGTTGGCACTATTTCTCTTGCTTTATAGGAATGCGTTGTGTGGAAAGCTTCAGTGTGAGAATGTACATGACATGCCTGTGTTTGGAATTGTACCTTCTATTATTAAGACACCTAGTCACGGCAGCTATTGTTGGGGCGTGGATTTCCACCTGGGCTCAGATGTTCCAGATCCGGGGATGGTGAATGAAGGCACAAAATGCGATGCTGGAAAGGTAATCTAAGCATTTTATTACCTACAAAGTAAAATGAAAATGATTAAAAAATTATTACACAGAATAAATACCGTTCTCTTCTGGTTACAAAAGAAAATTTAGATTTATTTTAGAAGTTTAGACACTAAAAAGACCTCAAGAAGAAACTTAAGAACTATAAATCTACCATGTATATTTTCTTCACTGTGGTCATCTAGCATATGTTTTCTACATTGCAATTTACTTACTGTATATATTTCCTTCTGTCAATATGGTGTAAATTATTTGCTAGTTTGCTGCTATTGGGACATTTAGGTGACTTCTAGGACTTGGCATGTGTGCTGTGCACTGTTCTACCAAAAGTGTTGTAGTGCCCAGTCTATGCTTCTTGACCATGGCTGTTTGGATCAGATATAGCCTATGACTTGCTACCAGTGGTATCTAAGAATTCTTTGAACAATGCCATGAAGTAGGAGCTGGGCTATGAGGGTGGTGGTAGCATTCAGTTGTATATGAGATATGAGGATGATGGCGTTGAAGAAACAAACACATGTAGAAGGAAGCTGGGAATGAGGGAGAGAGGAAGGGAGAGAGGAAGAGGGAGAGAGGCAGACTGGAAGTCACGCAGCCCATACCATATATGATCTGAACAGAGGGTTCTGTGAGATGGTCACAAATACTTCCCAGGGTCAGCGTTTTTGTGAGCCACCTTCCTCTCTTGGCATCTGGGGTTTGAACTCAGGACCTAGAGTTTGTTAGGTAAGGAATCGACCACTTGAGCTCTGCCCCAGGTCTTTTTGCTTTAATTTGTTTTTAGATTGAGTGTCATGCTTTTGCCAAGACTGGCTTTGGACTGTTATCCTCCTATCTATGACCTTGCTCATAGCTGGGATTGCAAGAGTGCATTTGCAGCTAAGTTTGACTGTTGCAGCTATTACAAATAATGTTGCGATAAGTGGCTTTATAAAAAAAATGTGGGATGGGGCTGGGAAGGTGGCTCAGTGGTAGAGCGCTTGCCTTGCATGCATGAGGCCATGGGTTAGATTCCTCAGCACCACATAAGCAAAAAGAAAAAAGCTGGAAGTGGCTCTGTAGTTCAAGTGGTAGAGTGCTAGCCTTGAGCTGAGGGACAGCGCCCAGGCCCAGAGTTCAGGCCCCACAACCGGACCTCCTCCCCACAAAAAAATGTGGGATGTAGCTGTTAATTTTCTAAGATTAGACTTGATAACAATATACAGACTTAAAGGCTTTAGGTATAGTTTTACCAAATTTCTCTTTGGAGAAGTTTTTATTAGTTTACCTTCCTATCAATTATATAGAGGTGTTTTAAGTTGTCCTTAATGTAGTCAATATGACCAGTTATAATTTTAAAGCCTTTATTGGTAACTTCCTCTTTGCCTTTCTCCTTTTCTCCCTCTTTCCTCCTCTTAGCCTCCTCACCTTCCTTATACACTCTTCCTCCTTTCTTCCTCTTCTTCCTTCTTCTTCTTCCTCACCCTTCAGAGAATGAAACCTAGGACCTTGTACATCTTCAGCTAGTGCTCTGCCACTGAGCCACATTCCTAGCCCTCATTATACTTTCTCTTTATTGGTAGTAATATTGAATATTTTGTTTAAAAATTCATTTCTTTCATGAATTGCCTGCTATTTCTTATATAAAGGTTTTAAGGAATTTTTACTTTTGTCATGTGCGCGTGTGTGCGTGCGGGCGTGCATGTGTGTGTGTGTGTGTGTGTGTGTGTGGTCTGTATCTCTCCCTTTATTTCTTGCTTCCCAGGAATGCAGTGTCTGGTAGGAATAAAGTGGGCTATACTATGTGGGTATAGACAAAATTTATTGGAATATCACATGCTTATATACAGCTACAGGCATGAGAAGTAAATCTTCAGTTAGGGGGCAGAGAATTAATCTTAATAGTTTTAGGGGAACACAGACAATAAGAGTTTAAGTCAGTAAGCACGAATAGTTAATCCTTGTCAAGAAATGTGGAGCAGTTCCAGTAATCAAAAGCTGTAAAAAGTAGGTAAAGCACAGGTGAGTCCACAAAGGGAGTCTTGAGGCATTGTTCTATGGGGTTAACTTGGAGGAATATGAATGATACTTCCTGCAAAACCTTCATCTAAATCTGGTGGCTGGGTGTTGGTCCTTTGCCCTGACTTGGAAGAAGGGGCACTCCCCTTCCTCCCCCAGAGAGAATGCATGCTGGTTTATACACCCTCACTGCATGCAGTACCTTAGATGGGAGTTGATGCCTCTGACATCTCCCCCTTTTTTGTTTTTTAAGCATAGAACAACAAGCATGAGATCCTTTGGTGGAAGGGACACTTTAGCTATTCTGGAGTGGAGACAACAGTATCCTACAAAGAACATAAACATCCTAAGACACAATACAATCAATCCCATAAAAGCACTATGGGTAAAACTCTGCCACCAGGTACTGATTTAGCACAGACACTATTCCTTCAGCCAAGCCCTCACATCCCACCCCAGGGAGCTGTACCCAGAAAGTCTTAGTGATTTTCGTTGCAGCTCATGTATGTCCAAGACAAATTTCCTTGCAAGTCTTGCAGGTGGTATTGAAGTCCCTGCCAAGTGATGTTAGTAGTGTTGAAGTAGGTGGGAGTGACACACAGCTTCATTGAGTTCCAATCACATTTGAAGGTTAGCTGTTTCTGCAGATCAATTATCTATCTGGTCTCCTATCCACTAGAATACATGTTGAAGGATGTTCAGGTGGGACTCAATGTCCTGTTCAATATTTAGCTGGCGAGACCATAGCTGATGAGAATCCTGTTGCCACTGCTCCACAAAGTCCTTGGTTTGGACTGTGGAATGCAGTGCCACTTCAGCAGTCAGGGCGGTAGCAGTGATAGCAATTAGTCCACTGATTGCAGCTATAATCAGGCCCAGGAACCTCCTAGTTCTCTTCAAACAGTTGCTGGAAGACTCCTGTCAACAAACCTACAACAAGGCTCTCCTGCCCCGCATCCAGACCCCTAAGCAAGATCTTAATATCAGGAGGGATTGAGAAGACACATCGAAAAGAATAGTATGATGTAAACATGTAAAGAGTTAATCAAAACAGTCAGGGCTACGTAGGGTTTCATTAACTGACACTGCCCCTATGGCCAACATATAGGGAAGTTTAGCACACGCCTGTACAGTAGCAGAATGATTCCTGTAAAATGCACAGTTTGCCTCATGGGCTCTAGAAAAATGACCAGTCCAATTTTGAGTTGTATAAAATAGGGCAGCAAGTATCCATAAATGCCACTGTTCAGGCCCAGGCATCCCTTGAACTTTATATGTGGCCAAGGAGGTGCAAGGCCTCCATCATGACAGGTAAGCAAACCAGTGGGTTTTACATGATTTATAACTCCATTGTATAAATGCCATCGAACAGAAGAATTACTAGTATACCAATCATCAACATGTTTCTCAGAATAATTGGCAATGAAACGCCTGTGGGGGCCCCAGTCTATAAAGGAGATGTTATTGTTATGCTGTATAATCTTTCCTCCAGGGTGGTAACAATGAGACCATTGAATAGGAACATAAGCTTGAGTCCAATAATTAATGCCCTGGCATACTGGGTTGGCTGGTCGCCCAGTCTTATTTGTATAAGAATGATTCTGACCAATAAAATTTAAGGAAAGTGTACTGAATAGCCCCATGCCATTGGTGATCTTACCATCAGGCAAATTGTACACCCATACCTGTCTTCTGGTTGGTAAGTAAGGTGATGCCCCTAAATACAGTGTTAAAGACTCAGATCCTAAGGATAGGTCATAGGGTGTTCCTTCCTCAGCTTGATGAGTGGGGCCTGCGTGGTCCCATGGGGGAGGAAAATACGTGCTGTCATTAGTGTATACCACTGGGCCTTGATCTAGCCAATCCACTAACTTTAACAATGGTGGGTGAGGAACATAGGCCCAATACTGATCAAAATGGCTTCTCCCTTAACTGACAATGCCTTAATCTGACCCCCCAGTGGTATCTGGCTGGTTTTCTTGTGATAAGGGCAATGGTGTCGTTGGGTCTTCAAGTTTAGGTCTGCAAAGCAGGGAGCTAATTCTTTCTCAGGTTTAGGTTGTACTGTTCTCATCTCTCTGGGGTTGGATGAGCGGAAGAGGAACGCATATGTTGCTGGTGGATCCATCTGGAATGATAGAAGCATACCCTTTCCCCTTAGGGGTCACTAGTTCTGGTTTCCATTGATCAAATTCTTTAAACCATGTAGGAATTTGATAGCAAGGTGGTGCTGGAGAAGTAAAATGCTTTTCAACTCCAGTGAAAAGATCATCTTGAGGTAAATTTAAAAAATTTAGAGCAAATAAGGTTAAGGCAAGAGTTTCCCTTGGGGATACCCTCCCCCCCCCTTTAAAAAATAATAGAAGCTTAAGTGTTTTATGGATGTGTAAACAGTTGGCCTTAGTCTACACAGATTGATTAGAGAAGTTTTAGCTAGGACCGGACTTTAGTAAACTCCCCTACTGTTTTCCTGGTTGTACGCTGGCTTTTATAGCTTGGCATTGGGTAGTTTATTAGAGTGACAGCTTTTTCCTAACCAGATTTTACTCCAAAGTGGAAATTAGGCCTCACTTTTAACTTTTAGTAACTGCACAGATCTTTTCTTGGGCTATAGCAGTATGGCCTGTTTAGCACTTTGGTGTGCAAAAGATTCAAATAGCTCAAGATGTTTAAAGGCAAAGGTCCATAAGGAGGGCCCACTTGCAGGTGGTGAGTGGCTGTTTCAGTAAGCAAGTTATAAAAGCCGACCTAGCAGTTAGTGATTACAAATGGCATCAAAGCAAAGTAAGGCTGTCTGAGCAGACATCCTGGTGCCTAGGCAGGAGATAGGGGTGGTACACCCAGCTCCATGGCCTGGAGGTGGGGCAGGTCTTCCCTTGGAGTACAGATACCTGGCTCTGTGGGGTGTGAGCTAGAAGGGTTCTGTTTTAGCCCTAGGAAAACTTACTTCCCCAAATGGAGGAAAACATTGATTAGCTCTCTAAATGGCC